CCACCTTAGCCCACATTCTTCCTCCCCTTGCTCCCCTTTCCACTCCTATGCCATTGGGCCTCTCATGTTCCATCCTCTCTTTAGCAGGCCCGATGGAATTATAGAAGAGAGAATTCAAACTAAAGCTTTTCAAGAGTATAGCCCAGCTCATGTGGATACCGTCTCTGCTGTTGCTGCTCTGAACTCAGACCTTTGTGTCTCCGGAGGAAAAGATAAGGTGGGGTTTGCAGGGTTTCCTGGGAAACCAACTGATAGCAGGAAAGGGAAGCTATTTTGAAAGAAGTCTAGGGTTTGCGTTGCTGGCAGCAGAGTTGACTAGAGTAAAAATATGGGCTTTCAAGTTAGAAAGACTAGGTTTAAATCCCTGCTTGGCTACTTTCTATTACTTTGAGTAAATCTTTAAATTTTTTTTTTTTATTTCAGCATATTATGGGGTATACAGATGTTTAGGTTACGTGTGTTGCCCTTGGTTCCCCCTCCCAAGTCTGTGTTTCAAATATGTCCATCCTTTGGGTAGTGCGCATTGCACTCCTTGTGTATATGAGCTTAGTCTCTTTATCTGTTAAGTGGGGATATAATAATGCCACTTCATAGGACAGTTGTAAGGATCAAATAAGAGAACATAGGTAAGACCCTTAGCACTATGCCTCACCACCCACATGCTTTTTATAAATGGCAAGGACTATTCTTCCAGCCAATCCCTTTTGACATCTACAGGCAGACACAGAAGTTATTTATCCACAAAAGGAACTCTCTAGTTGCTTCTTTTATGCTACGCTTTTGCCAAAATCTTTACACTTGTGTGGCATCATGATTCCTCCCTTCCATGTTTTATCCTTCCTCCTATCATCACTTTGAATCTAACTGCTTTCTCTCCTTCATGTTTGGATCTATCATTGCCTTCAGAGCTAGGATATTGGTAGCAAAAAACACTGATTGTTTTTATGGAGAATATTACTAATATTGTCTCTCATTTTTAAAAGCCTTTTAGAATCTTCATATTCCATTTGCATACTGTATTTCACTGTTTCTAAAATGTATATGTTACACATTTTAAAACCTCTGAATTCAGGATACATCTCAGTATCATAGATTAATTGGCAGCATTTTGTCTTAAAATCTGTATCATCTTAGATGTAAGAAATTTTATTTATATGAGCCTCACTCACCCCAGTGAGGGGTAGATGGGGCAAGGATTATCCTTCTCTGTTTTGCAGATTAGGAGACTAGGAATGGTTCTCTCAACAGCCCTTTATTTAGAAAGTTGAGGTCAAGTGTAACAAGGGCTGGGTCCACTATAAATACATGCTCCTTACTCTCTTGCAATGAACTGTGGAGACTTGACCAGAAAATGTTTTAAAAATCCTGTTTAGGGAGGGCAATGCTCACAATAAAATATTAAGGTATCCACCTGAACAAAGTATGGAAAGAAAATTTTAACAATGATCCTTTTTGGCAGATGGGATTATGGATGAGTTCTTTTTGAAATTTTAAAAAAAGGTGCAATCCATTTCACAACAGTGTAAATATACTTAACTGTACACTTAAAAATGATTAAGATCAGCCAGATGCAGTGACTCATGCCTGTAATCCCAGCACTTTGGGAGGCTGAGGCTGGAGGATCGCTTGGGGCCAGGAGTTCAAGAACAGCCCGGGCAACATAATGAGACCCTACAAAAAATAATAATAAAATTAGCCAAGGTGGTGGTGTGTACCCATAGTCCTAGCTACTTGGGAGGCTAAGGCAGGAGGATCGTTTGAACCCAGTAGTTTGAGGTTACAGTGAGCTGTGATCACATTACTGCACTCCATCTTGGACTACAGAGTGAGACCCTATCTCAAAAAAAGAAAAAAAAAAAGGTTTAGGTTTTTAATTTAAAAAAAAAAAAATTGCAATACAGTAGCGGGGGAACCTAATCCCTGTAGAATTCTCCTTCAGCATCTACAACCAAAACCTCAAGCTGAAACAGTCCTTGGGGAGTATTGTCCCACTCTCAGCAGTAAGGTTTAGAGGAGTGGCTCAGTGTCTTAGGGAGAGACAGAGAAGTGATCAAAAGGAAAGAAAAGAAACTCAAAGGAAGGGAATGTGAGAAGGAGCGTAACAATAAACCTCTAAGGCTTGAAGCAAGTCACTTGACAGAGAGGGAGGTAGTGACAAGGGAGAGATTAAGGTGAGGAATGAAATAAAGGCTAGTTTCAGATAAACAAAAATTCAGAGATTAAACTAAAATATTTTAATGACTCTCTGCAGACAGTTGTGGCCTATAATTGGAAAACTGGAAATGTGGTGAAAAGGTTCAAAGGACATGAACGTGAAATCACCAAGGTAATTGTCAAACGATTATTATTATGAAAGGAATTTGGAACAGAATAAAGGGATATCTAATAGCTCTAGATATTAAGAGTGATTGAATGTTCAATCCTAAGGAAAAATGTAAGGGTTTCATTTGATGTTGTGAAGCCAGGAAAAGCAGAGCAACCCATTTACTTAGCTGTTGTTACAGGTACATTGGACACAGTTTTTCTTTGGTTATTAACCCCATAATAGCGCAGGTAGTAAATAGAGAATAGCTAATAACAACCCTCCTTGACCTATCCTGATTTAACAGGGACATACACTGAAGGCTTACTGTGTGTTTGCTATAGCTAGAAAAATGACAAAATCCCTATGCTTAGCAACCTTCTAGTCTAGCTGGGGAAGTTTTTAAAAAGTCAACAAAAGTAAATAAATATTAATTTGTTAAATAGCTTTACAGGCTGGGCACAGTGGCTCACGCCTGTAATCCTAGCATTCTGGGAGGCCCAGACGGGCGGATTGTTTGAGCTCAGGAGTTCGAGACCAGCCTGAGCAAGAGCGAGACCCCGTCTCTACTAAAAATAGAAAGAAATTAATCAGACAACTAAAAATATATAGAAAAAATTAGCCGGGCATGGTGGCACATGCCTGTAGTCCCAGCTACTCAGGAGGCTGAGGCAGAAGGATTGCTTGAGGCCAGGAGTTTGAGGTTGCTGTGAGCTAGGCTGACACCACGGCACTCTAGCCTGGGCAACACAGTGAGACTCTGTCTCAAAAAAAAAAAAAGAATGAGTTTTGCAAGATCCTAGCAGAAGAAAAAGGTCACCAAAATGTAAAAGAAAAATTAGTTTGGCTTCAAATTTCTTCTCAGCAGCACCTGCTTCCATAGGACAGTAGAACAATGTCTATAAAATGGCAAGAGAAAGAATGCGACTTAATCCTTTATGCAGCCAGAGTGGTGTGCATACATAAAAGCAATAGAAAGACATTCTTAAATTTGTAACATTTCCACATATGCAAAACATTCTTCAATAATACAATTGAAGGTATATCATTAAAGAATGTGAATAAATGATGAATATTAAAGAAGTTCCAAACTGAATTCACGGTATGGGCCTTCAATCCAGTTAAACATAGAATTATGTCTAAAGAATTGTCAAAAACAGTGCTATGAGATGAAATGTAATGTTATGATTCTTTTAAAATATATATAAAATGGGCCGGGCACGGTGGCTCACGCCTGTAATCCTAGCATTCTGGGAGGCCGAGGCGGGCGGATTGTTTGAGCTCAGGAGTTCGAAACCAGCCTGAGCAAGAGCAAGACCCCGTCTCTACTAAAAATAGAAAGAAATTAATCAGACAACTAAAAATATATAGAAAAAATTAGCCGGGCATGGTGGCACATGCCTGTAGTCCCAGCTACTCGGGAGGCTGAGGCAGAAGGATTGCTTGAGCCCAGGAGTTTGAGGTTGCTGTGAGCTAGGGTGACGCCATGGCACTCTAGCCTGGGCAACACAGTGAGACTCTGTCTCAAAAAAAAAAAAAAAATATATATATATAAAATGCAAAATATCAATATTATGATAATAGACTGAGGCAAAAATCCAAGACAGTACATACAAAAATGAGAAAGAGACAGAATTAAATGTAATTGTGCTAATTAAAAAAATTTTTTTTTCACAGGGAAGAGTCTGTACCTATACTGTTTTCTTTCTGAAGTTAATAAATTGGGAATATAGGTTTAAGGATATTAATACATATATAAAGGTATGAATTAGAAGAATTTAGATTACATATTTTTTAAATTAAAAAATAAAAAGGGAGGGAAGAAATCTATAAACAAATACGTAATTTTACAGAAAAAGAAGACAATGAAAACATGAAGTGTTTTTTAAAAAACAATAGAAAAGATGAAAGAAACAAGACCAAACATATCTATGATACCAATAAATGTAATTGGGATAAATTCACTTATTAAAAGAGAGTACTCTTAGTTAAAAACTAAAGCCACCTACACATTGTTTAAAAGAGACATATCTAGTACAAAGCAGCTTAAAGATTGAAAGTAAACGGTGAGCAAAGATAGAACAGATATTTGTACACCCATGTTAATAGCAGCATTGTTTATAATAGCCAAAAAGTGGAAACAACCCAAAACGTCCATTGCCAGAAGCACGGATAAACAAAATGTGGTAATATACACATAATGGAATATTATTCAGCCTTAAAAAGGAATGAAATTCTGATACATGCTACAACATGGATGAACCTTGAAAACATGTTGAGTGAAAGAAACCAACACAAACGTACAAATACTGTATGATTCCACTTATATGAGGTACCTAGAATAGTCAAATTCATAGAGAAAGAAAGTAGAATGGTGGTTGCCAGGGAATAGGGTAAGGGGAAAATGGAGAGTTATGGTTTAATGGATAGAGTTTCAGTTTGGGATGATGAAAAAGTTCTAGAGATGAATAGTCGTGATGGTTGTACAACAATATGAAGGTACTTGGTGCTACTGAATTGTACACTCAAAAATGGTTAAAATGGTAAGTTTTATGTATATTTTACCACAATTTTAAAAAAAGGAAACAACATGAAAGAGATCAGAACAGGAAAGAAAAAGACGAGCAAAGATATATCAGGCAAATGCAAATAAATAGAAAGCAGGAGTTGTGATAATAATATCAAATAAAATTGTATTCAAGGTAAAAAGTATTAAATGGAACAGAGATTCACATCAAATTCATCATGAGTACAACAGAATTACCTGTCATAGAGTGTTAGGCTCTGATGGTTTCAAAGGAGTTCTTTCAAATTCACAAAAAGAGATAGTTCTGATGCAGTTTAAACTGTTCCAGGGTACAGAGGAAAGAGACAGCTTCTTAATTCTTCTTATAAATCCACTATAACATCAGTAGCAAAACCTGACAAAGCATATGACAAAAACCACAGACCAACAAAAACCTGTGTTAGATGAAATTAGATATGGCTTCACATACTAGAAAGCCCAAATAAAAATACCTGAAATATACAGTTGAAGGTTGGTGTGGTGGCTCCATAGTCATGAGGGAGCCAGGCTCCTTCTATCTTTCTTGTCTGCCATCAGAGTTTGGCTTCCTTCTTAAGGTTACCTCCTGTTCACAAGATGGCTGCTGCAACTCCAGTCATCGTATCTGATTTGAAGGCAGCAGGAAGGAAGAAGGGAAAAGAGCAAAAGGTTGTGCCTGCCAGCTCCTTTAAAGAGTTTTCTGGAAGTCCCACTTCCACATATATCTCATTGGCTACCCCTTCAAGGGGGCTGGAAAATCTGAATTTATAGCTGAATGCATTGCCATACCCAACAATATAGAGGTTTTATTATTAAGTAAGAATAGAAATAATGGATGGTGGGTATACTACTCATAGTCTGCTCCAGTATGGATACAAAAATCATAAAGGAAGCATTAGGAAATAGAATCTAACATTTTTTAAAAAAAAGAATAGCATACTATGGCTAGCTGAGCATTATTCTAAGAATGCAGAAATAGTTTAATATTAGGAAATTAGTAAATATGATTCCCTATATTAATTGGTCAATAGGAGAAAAATATGATCATCTTAGTAAATCAGAAGATCCAGCATTCTTTCCTATGGAATCTCTGGGTAAAGTAGAAATAAATGGACCTTTATGTGATTAAAAATATAGAAAAAAAATCTCTTTAAAAAAAAATACAGTGAGTGACATTACAACACAAAATAAGAGATAATATTAATGTAAGGTGGTTCTATGATTACTGGGATGAGGCATGTGAGAGTGCTTTGTACACTGTACCCATTTGGAGGGGGTGATCACGAAGTGCCAAAGAAATCACACAGAGAGGAAGTTCTCCAGGACCCCAAAGAGGAGAGATCCCATGGAAGTGAGATGGTCTGAGGAGGTTCCATGGAGGAGGTGAGATTTTTCACCTTACCTTGAAGGACAGGAGGAAATCTGCTACTTAAAGAGGAAAGGGTAGCACAGCATGGATGAAGGTGGAAATTCAAACCAGCCTGCGCTTTCCATTCATGGATTTCAAGTTTAGGTATTACTCTTTCAAAAAATGTGCATGGGGAGGGAGTTACACAAACCCGTCTTTCCCCCATTTTAAAGTCCAATCTAACAAGCACACCAGAGCTATTTCAGTTTTTGTTTTGTTTTCTACCTGAGCAGGTAGCCTGTCTTCCCAAATCAAACCAGTTCTTCAGTGCCTCTCGGGACAGGATGGTCATGATGTGGGACTTGCATGGTTCCTCACAACCAAGGCAGCAATTTTCTGGCCATGCTATGGTAGTCACTGGATTGGCTGTGGGTCCAGGTAAAGTAAAGTAGATCTCTTCCCAATACAGCTGTGCTTCGGACAACCCTGTTCAAGTCCCAGCTCATGGTTTGTCTTCTTACCATTGTTTCCAAAGACTTATCACAGCTGTGCACCGGCTCTCGGGACAACACCCTGCTTCTGTGGGATGTGGGGACCGGACAGTGTGTGGAGAGAGCATCTGTCTCCAGGAACGTGGTATGAACTCAGACTTGGCACAGAACAGGGCAGCAGAGGGAGCATGGGGTATGGGGTGAGGGAAAGGGCCAAGAGAGAGCTTTGGGTCCTGACTTTCCGTGCAACCCTGGCCTCTCAGGCTTATTAGATTAGGTGATCTCTTGAGTCTTCTGCTCCAGAGAATGATTCCATTTGTTTATATTGGAATTTAAAATAGTATCCTCATTTATTCCTTCAAAATATAGTTACTCCATTTCTTCTGTGGGCCAGACGCTGTGCTAGGAACAGGGTTAGTGACCAAGGACACAGTTCCTGTCTTCCAGGAGCTCACAGCTTATGCTTATTGTGCATTCTGTATGTGTAACATCATGCAGAGAGATAAGCATTACCTTCTGCTTTATGTATGATTTGCTCTGTTTTTGAAGGCCAGTTGTTCTCTGGTAGCAGACTGGTGTATAAACTGCACAGCCTTTGGGGTCAGCCATACCCAGGTTCGAATCGGGAATCTATCATTTACTAGCTGTGTTACCCCAAGAAAGCTACTTATGCTCTTAGAGTCTCAGTGTCTTCATTTATAAAGTGGGGAGAAATATATCACCTGATAGGGTTCTTCAGAGGATGAAGCGAGATAATATATGTGAAAAACCTGTCATTGTGCCTAACCCATGGTAGATGTTCCTTTATTGGTCGTCAAATTTCAGTAATAATCTATATTTATTTTTATTGATTGATTGACAGAGTCTCACTCTGTCACTGGTGCTAGAGTGCTGTCGTGTCAGTGTAGCTCACAGCAACCTCAAACTCTTGGGCTCAAGCGATCCTCCTACCTCAGCCTCCCAAGTAGGTGGGACTACAGGTTTATGCCACCACACCCAGCTAATTTTTTCTATTTTTTTAGAGACAAGGTCTCACTTTTGCTCAGGCTGGTCTTGAACTCCTGACCTCAAGCGATTCTTCTGCCTCGGCCTCCCAGAGTGCTAGGATTATAGGTGTGAGCCACCGCACCCAGCCCATCTTTTCTAATTTTGAAGACAACTGTCCATGGCAGAATGTGCTTGCCCCATGCCCTCCATATTTGTGGCGGTTATTGGAAGACAATCAAATGCTGTTATCTTGAGTTGTTTTGAAAAGTGTTTCATGCCTGTCCAGCAGGGGGCTGCAGGGATAAAGAGAAATATGATCGCTCTTACTGAAACCCATGAGGTGCTGGACTCAAGTTTCAGTGGTCCGACCTTACAACAAGGGCTATTCTCCTAGCTGCCACCTGGCCAGCCGTTCTTTGCCACACGGCTGGGGTTTCAGGTACCCTAAGGGTGCCTGCATGCATTTTGGTACTCACAACTGGCCCAGCTGCTACCTTGCTTCTGATAACCTAAGAGCTGCAGGTAGAGCATGAGTGATAGGCATCTGCAAAGCATAAAATCCCTCTAAGTCAAATTTGCTACCTCAGTATTCTTGACAAGAGGTGCAGAGATGCTAGTTAGCACAGTTTACAGGAATTACAGCAGAAGAATGACTTGGTATGGAGAGGTTTTGAAAATTTTGCTTTTTCCAGGTCACTCACCTGTGCTGGGTTCCCAGAGAGCCATATATACTACAGACCTCTGAGGATAAAACCATCAGGTAGGCTTACTGAGCAGCAGCAAAGTGTTTCTGGTGAGGTTTGTGGCTCTCATACTTGTGTGACTCTGTTCTTATCCTGAATCTCCGCATTGCTGTGTTCTTCCCGGGGCCTCCCGCCCCTCTGCCCCTCACTGGTGCTGGGGCCTCTCTGATCTGGCCCCATGGATCATCGGGGTAGAGATTGGATGCAGGATATCAGGCCATGAGAAAGCCCCTGTCCTGGATAACTTCGAAGCAGCTGATGCAGCAGCTCCCACAGTGGGAATGTGTTCGGATTAACTTCAGGATCAGGCACTTGCTTGTCCTACTCTTCGGGCTGCCTGGCTCTGCTTGCTCCCCTTGCGTGGCTCCTGGCATTCTCAATTGCCCAGCCCCCAGCTAAAGCGAGGAAGCAGGGTCGGAGTCAGCATCAGAGAGTCAAACGAAGCCAGTCGTTCTTAGACGCAAGAGCACACCTGGAAACTTCAGATCTGAGAAAAGATTCTACTTAGAAAATGTAGGAATGGCTTAAAGAGGTAAAAATGAGACAAGAGGCAAAACAAAACACTCCTGAGTGGACCCCATGGCCAAGGCTGGCCAAGGCCTGTGAATCTTTTGTATCTGATTCTGAATGATGACTACTGTTCTGTATCATAATAAGTATCTTTTTAAAAACTTAAATCACAGGCACAGAAATATCCTCTTGTCCAGTCAAAGCAGTGACCCAAAGGACCAAATTAACAAATTAACTTGTACAATTAAGATGCTTGGTCTAAATTCCTATTAACTGATCTCAAAATAGAAAGAACTCAGACGTCATTCAGTTTGGTTACTTCCTGCCAGCTTTAGAGGCTCGAAGATTGATCTGGTTCATGCTGCTGTTTTTAGGTAAATCATGACATTCCAATCTGACTTGCCTCAGTAGCAAAAGGCCAAGACTCTTATGGTAGTGGGATATTACAGGTGTATTTCAGACACATTTACTACAAACTCATTTCCTGCTTGAATTTCTTTCAGATTATGGGACAGTCGGGGGCTACAGGTAGCTCATACGTTTCCCGCAAAGCAGCACATTCAGACCTATTGTGAAGTCAGCGTGGACGGACATAAGTGTGTCTCCTGCAGCAGCGGCTTTGGAGGAGAAGGCTGTGAGGCCACGGTAGGAGATTGTGTGAGGTCTGGGTGTCTGGTTGCTGATGAACAAATCACTCTGGGCTCATGCCTGAGCTGGGCTACATTGGCAGGCTCTGCTAATGGCTCAGGCCTACTTCAAGTGCATACTGCGAGTGATCCTTCGTACTCCAGATGCTGCTTTTAAGAAACAGTCATTAACCTAGGGCTCTCCGAATTGGCAGTAGCAAAGAGGAATGGGCTGAGAGTCAAGATAGGGAGGAGCTAAGCACAGAACCAGCCTGCTGATGTCCCTACTCCCACCAGAGCTTGGAGGGGGCAGGGACTGTTTGAAGAACCAAATGAATTCCCATTATACATGTGGCCACAGGAAAGGAAGTTGAAACTCTTCAGGAAATTTGGAGCTCCATCCTGGGTCCAGGACACATGCCATCCCTTACCCATATACCTTCCTTGCAGTTAATTTTGGGATCGATTGCCTAGGCTCTCCCAAAGTACCCTAGATTCATAATTGTAGAATATCAGTTAAAAGGGTTATCTAGTATCCAGATAGAACAATTACAGCTCCCATTTTATCAAACAATTATTATGTGCCAGGCACTGGGCTGAAAACATTACATGTAGTGTCTCATTTCATTCTTAGAAACAACCCCATGAGTTAGGTACTATTACAATTCTCATTTTACAGATGAGGAAATAGAGGTGTCGCAAGTTGAAATCACCTTGTGCAAGACCACACCCCTAGTAAGTGGTAGATCAGGCTTTGAATGTAGCATCTCTTCTCCAAGATAAGCATTTCCAGTACTACAGCTATTCCCTGGATGACATAGTGCCAGTGACTTCATTATTTTTTTGGACACAATTCAGTTTGCTCTCCTCCCTGAACATTATTCTCCAGGTGTGGTCTGATCTGTATTAATAAGAGTGGGGACGGGCAGCACTGACTGGCATGTTCCTTCTTGTAGACACTAGTCTTCATGAATCAAGTTTCAGTATCTAGGCATTAAATCAGAATGTCCTCGCCTGTGTGTACTTATGAAAAGGCACTTCTAACTGTGGGGTCCCCATAGGACTCACAGGTGCCTAAAGGCTGATGATATAAGGCGGCTCTTGAGTTGTCATGAAAGCAAGCAACCCCATACTATTCCATCGTGCTATAGGACTGGGAGCTTTTACTTCTCTCGCCATGAAAAAGGCAATGACCCTTCTGGCACATCCATAACCAGGGTTGTTTGGGACATAGTTGGTGCTTAAAATAATCATCGGATGGATGGGCGGTTGGGCGTGTGGATGAGATGGATGAAGATAAGTGGCTGCATGAGTTGGTAAGTGGAAGGAGTAGGTGGATCATGGGAGGTGGGAAGATGGATATTAATGGATGAAGCTAGATAAATAGTATGTATGAGCTGGTCCATGTTGTTCCTTTGCAGTTGTGGGATCTAAGACAGACACGGAAAAGAATATGTGAATATAAGGGGCATTTCCAGACCGTTGCATCCTGTGTCTTCCTACCAAGAGCATTGGCCTTGAGGCCTGTAATTGCTACCTCATCACATGATTGCAAGGTGAAGATTTGGGACCAAGATACTGGAGGTAAGGAGCCTGCTGTCAGTGCTTCTTAGAAGGTACATGAAGTCCTAAAGGCCTTCTTAATACTCTTTCTTCCCATTGCTCAGCATGTACAAAGTGACCCATCTCCTGCTGCTGTCCAGTCTCCTAGTGGTTAAGAGATGACATCAAGATGCCAGAATCTCACTGTTCAGCCTCTGGCTAGAGGCCATCACCATGTATTTCCTGGTACCATGTTGTATAGACTCATTCCTGAGAGCTCAAATATATTTGGCTCTTATATTCTTTTTACCTGAAGTTCCTCATCAGGTTTTAAGTTGTAATGCTCAAAATGTCTACAAAAGGGAACAAGAATTACCACCTTTCAAATCTTTTTTTAAAGACTAAAGCCAAAGCCTCAGCCCTTGGATAGTTGGCGGGGAGTAAGGATAGTCTCAGAGTGATTCTGCTCTGTTTTGACTCGGTAACTGAGGTTTAAGATCACAGTAAGGTCATGACACCAGGGATAAAAGATGCCTTATGGAACAGCTCACCAGAGTCCTTGGACTGCTGCGGCCACCTCCTACTGGCAGATTGATAAATATTCAGGAATTTTGCAAGCTGGTTTTTAAACCTTTGGTAGCTTGAAATCTGGACACGATGGGGGTATTTACACTTTATAAAAATTGACAAGTGCTATGAGTAAGTGTTGTTTTTTTCTTCCAGAAAGCTAGTTTACCAGCACACCACTGCCTCCATGCTATTCTGTCCTGGACACAGGGTTCTGCCAGAAATAGGAATAGCATTAACTTAAACAACTTTATACCAAATCCCTTCTACAACAATCCTCCAGAATTTAGCTCCTGTCAGGAGGAGATAGGGTATCTCCCTGAGAGAAAAAAGGCAGGACTGTGTCTATTGACACTTTGCAAACAGCTGTGGTGACAAGCCAAACTTTCATAGCAAGGACAGCCCTGCTGTACCCTCACACCTGGGCTTTTCCAACCGCCCAGGTGTAACAATTGTGGGAGGTGGGGAGAGCAGATGTTTTAGATTTAATGATCATATACCTAAGACCAGGGAGAACAAGGTCTAAAAGTATCGACCTGTCTGGGTGGCACAAACGCCCTGCCCACCAGGTGTGTGCCCATAGTTCATAGAAGAGTGGTCTTCAGGATGCAGGTGGAGGCAGACTGGGTCAGCTGGAAAGCCCCAGATACTGCCCTTCAAGTTCCCTGCACTATCCTTTACCTCAAAGGGAGCAAGACCCCAGGAAGCCACTAGCTAAAAACCAGTATCCTTGGCCATGCGTGGTGGCTCACTCCTGTAATCCCAGCACTGTGGGAGGCTGAGGCAGGAGGATTACTTGAGGCCAGGAGTTTGAGACCGGCCTGAGCAACATAGTGAGACCCCATCTCTATAAAAAGTAAAAAAAAAATTAGCCAAGCATGTGGCATGTGCATGTAGTCCCAGCCACTGGAGAGACTGAGGTGGAAGGATTCCTTGTTCCCAGGAGTTTGAGGTTGCAGTGAGCTCTGATGACGCCACTGTACTCTAGCCTGAGCAACAGAGTGAGACCCTGTTGCCAAATAAGGGAAAAAAAAGATTAAAAGATTAGTATCCTTATCTGTTTTTCCTCCCCCGCCCCGGCCCCTGCCTTGTTCTCTGGGCAAGTGACTGAGGGCACCTTTTTAACGTGTCCTTAGCCAGTGAGGCCCCAGATGTCTAAACTACTTCTTGGTGGTCTACATCCTATTTGGCCCACGTGCCACTCTCTACAACTGACGTCTCAGGTTGACCCAGGTTCTGACTTGCCTGCTGGTGCGCTTTCCTCTGAAGCAAGCAGGGCCTCTCTTATATGGATTAGGTATGTACAGGAAGTGCTTTATTTCCTTGGATTTCTCACAAAGACGTCATGTTTCATGACATTGCACTCTTGGCCTAATTTGCTTGTTCCCCCTTCCTTCCCCAGCTTGCCTTTTCACCTTGTCTCTGGATGGATCAGGACCTTTGACTTCCCTGGCTGTTAGTGACACCACCTCCTTATTGTGTGCAAGTTTCAACAGAGGAATCTACTTACTCAGAGTGGACCACAGTCGAGGGCTGGAACTGCGGGAAGTGGCAGCATTCTGAGACCAAGAGACACTCACTGGACAATATCAAACCGTGGCCCCTCCTTTCTCAATGTGGCTTTGTGTCTGTGTTATTTTGCGGGGAGTGGAATGTAGAGCTGGTATTCTTTGATTAGTTTCATTTAGAAGGTATAGCAGTGTTAGAAGTCAGTTTAAGGCCGGGCGCGGTGGCTCACGCCTGTAATCCTAGCACTCTGGGAGGCCGAGGCGGGAGGATTGAGCTCAGGAGTTCGAGACCAGCCTGAGCAAGAGCGAGACCCTGTCTCTACTAAAAATAGAAAGAAATTAATCAGACAACTAAAAATATATAGAAAAAATTAGCCGGGCATGGTGGCACATGCCTGTAGTCCCAGCTACTCGGGAGGCTGAGGCAGGAGGATTGCTTGAGCCCAGGAGTTTGAGGTTGCTGTGAGCTAGGCTGATGCCATGGCACTCTAGCCCAGGCAACACAGCAAGACTCTGTCTCAAAAAAAAAAAAAAAAAAAAAAAAAAAAGTCAGTTTAAGTCCAGCAGTTCAAAATCAGGTATGGAGTTCAGAAACATGGACAAACCTAAGGCTCTCAATTTCAGTTAAATCCAAATGTAATTTTTTAGTGATCTTTTGGAACTACTCTTCCAAAAAACTTTACTGCCCAGAATGATGACCTATAAGTGTAAGAGTGGTAGGCACCTGTCTGTGAGAGAACCCAGGGCTCGAGTTTCCGTGTCTCCAACAAAAGAAAAAACGCAGTGGAGAGAGAGACTGTTTTGGTTACCTCAAAAATAATCAAGATGGGAAAGAGCAGTGCAGCTCCATAGAGGAGGCAGATCATACACAGTGAGCTTACGCGCCAGTCGCTGCTCCTCAGCAATGAGAAGAATCAAAGTTAGGGCAAGAAAGCAAGAGCCGTGGCTTCTACTCCGAGTAGCAGCAGAATGGGGGGTGGTGATCCCTGCCTGTTCTTGGTACCTGCCTAGCGCGGCGCTGCTGAGCTCACGGGAAAGTCAGACCTGAGATATCTTGAAGAGGCCAACAATTACAAGAGTGTTGCCCAGAGTTACAGGAGTTAGCAAACCCGTTCTATGGATAAGAAAATGGAGAGGCCAAAAAAAATCTCATTTGCAATTTTAACATTTTTATTTAGTTTTATATAAATAAGACTTTATATTATAATATATACATGTATGTATATTTATTTGTTTGTTTTTCCCTTGGGAATGGCCAGAGTGAGGCAAAGGAGAGCTCTGAAATAACAACAGACTGTATAGAAAAAAGGAGAGGGAAACTGGGTGTGGTGGTGCATCTGTAGTCCCAGCTACCGGGGAGGCTGAGGCAGGAGGATGGCTTGAGCCCAGGAGTTTAAGGCCAGCCTGGGCAGCATAGTGAGACCCTGTCTTTTTAAAAAAAAAAGAAAAAGGAGAACAATGGAGTCAACTGTGCTCAGCCATCGAGCCCTCTTTAGTGAGGAACAGCAGAGTGCTCAGGGCTGTGCGTGTCGCCCCTGGGAGTCAGTCCTTAGCCTGGTGTTCACCAGCCCATTTTTCTCCAGGGAAAATGAAGTCCTTCCTGCCTTCAGACAAGCTCACGCATAAGGCATCTGAGGGCTGGAGAGTCCCTTTCTGACGAGTCCCAAAGGAAGATTTTGCGTTTCTCTTCTCTGCTCTCTGCCTGTCCCTGAAACCAGTGGCTGGCAGGCGTCTTCCTTGTCCCCCTTGTCCCCTTGCTTCTCTTGCGGTCTAGCTCTTCTCCCATGCTATCTCCAGTGAGGGGAGGAGAGAGAGGGGAGTCTAGTCTTCAGCTAGTACAAAGTCAGACCCAAGTTTGAATCTCCACTTCTCCATTTAGCTGGATGACCTTGGGCAAGTTACAGAAATCTCGGTTTCCTCCTCACTTAGAATATGGGCTCACCATCACCCCTCCCTCGCAGGGCTGTTCTGAGGACTGGACATAACTATATAACATGCCAAGCAAAGTCGTATAGTTATTTCTTGTCCTCTCTGTCCAGACTAAATGCCCTCATTTCCACATTAAATGTCTCCATTCCTTCATCCATTCTTCTTAGATCTTCTAACCCTTTAGTCATTTTTCAGCTTTCCTTTGATCCCTTGAGTTATGGATCTTTGAGCTCCAGAAAGACAAAGGGGTAGTGGGAGAGGAGACTACTTCAATGAGCGCCTACAGAAGGCTGGATACATCTATTCTCACTACAATTCTCACTGTTACTCCTGTTTCACAGATGAGAAAGCTGAGGCCCAGAGATGTGCAGTTCTTTGCCCAAAGTTCCACATATACGAAGGGGAAGAGCTGAGCTTTGAATCTGGGTCTGCCTGACTCAAAGCCGGAACACCTTCCTTTGCACCCTTTTGCCTTTGCATGATGTCACAAAATTTCCCTGTTCAGTTTAGAAATTCATAGACCATGACATTGTTTGTGTATTTTCAAGATCAGTTATTAACTTTTTGGCTCCAAGGAGATCCTCCTGGCCAGGTGCCCAGGGGCGGTAGACAGCTGTCTCAGGGAAAGTGCTAGCATATTCTGGATTATTGCTGCAGCTGACACTTTCTCCTAGAAAGAAGACAGGTACAAGTCCGAATGTCCAGGGGAGTGGGTTGAGAGGGGGTCCCAGGGAAGGGGGACAGGCTACTACTATAAGAGGGAAAGTACATGTGAGAAAATGGGAGGCCTCTGATGAGTTAGCAGGGTTCTACTACTAATAAAATTATTTCCCCAAACTCTACATGTATGCTTGATGTCTTTATCTATGCCTTTTAAGTAGAAAATAGAAAAATAAATGCTAGTGTTTGTAGAGGACTTTTTTAGTCTGACATGCCCTAATCAAATACCCCCAGCACTGAAGATACAGGCTGCTAAACATTCATTCATTCACTGAACAAGTCATCTTAGAGGCTGCCCCTCTAAAACCAGATCAAGGAATTTTCCAAAGACAGTTGACTTTTTTTCCAGGAAAATATATAAGCCTTGGAATCTGGCCAACTATATATTTTAAATTTTAGATAAATTTAGATGTTTACTTACATATTTATCATTTAAATATATTTATATATTTAAGGAAAATGGGTGATGATTATTAATGTCTTCATTTTGACACAGCAAAGCATGGAACTCACATCACTTGGTGTTTTTAATCTTCTGACACCAAGGAAAAGGAACTTTGCTATTTTCAAATGGCCTCTTGAAAACATAATTATTAAAGAGCAGCTTTACCATTAAAAATGTGGTAGACTGCTTGCTAGTTGTCTCCTGAAATTGGCACATTTTCTTGGCATAGGCTGCCCAGCTAAGACTACATCCCAGCTGGGCATGCCACGGGAGTAAGTTCTTGTCAGTGGATTGTGAGTGGAAGTGATGTGTGTAACTTCCACCTAATTAGTTTGGGAAGAATAGCTTGTCCAGGACTACCTCTCTGGGTCCCTCCCCACTAGCTGGAATGCAGACTGGCACTAACAGCTTCAATTCTTCAGGAGGACAACATAATTAAACAGCAAGACAGAAGGACGTGGGAGGGTGGAGGGGGAGGGCATGAATAAATGAAAATGAATAACCTAACCCTGAGGAACTGGCCTGCCCCGCCAGCCTCACTGGCAGGACTGTTACCTGAAAGGGAATGAACTTCACTCTTTTAAACCACTATATAATTTTTTAAATTTTAATCCAGGAATGGTAATATGAAAAAATTTCAGATGTATAAGTTTATAGCTCACTGAATTTTCATAAACTGAACGCACTGTAGTAGGCAATACCTAGATGAAGCAGCATAACATATCCAGATGGTCTCCCTCGTACTCCTCTCCAGGCCTATCTATCAAGGACTCTGTAAGAGCATAAATTGCTTTTGATTGCTTTTCTACTTTATATAAGTGGAATCATATCATATTGTAGATGGATCACAAATTTCTCCCATTCCTGTATGCATGACCCTTTGCAATATGACTTCTTCTGATTGAGAGTTAGGGTCTATTTCCACACCCCTTGAATCTGGGCTGACCTTTTGACTTGGTTTGACCAATAGAATGTAGGGCAATGAATACTATGTAATTCCTGAAGTTAGGCCTTAAGACAATATGCAGCTTCTACTTTCACCCTCTTAGAATGCTGCCCTCAGATTGCCATGTAACGAAGGTGGTCGAGGCCACATGGGCAAGGACCAAGCACCACTGGAAGAAGGTCATGTGAAGGAGGTCACCTTGGGCATTCCCACCCAGCCAGGTCTGCAACTGACTGCAGCCTTATAGGTAAACTTGGCAAAATCAAGAGAAACTGCACAAATATTCCACGATCTCATGAGAAATAATAAATTGTTGTTTTAAGACATTGTTTTGGAGTGGCTTGTCATACAACAATAGATTTACGTGAAACAAGTATGTACTCTTATTTTTGGTTGGGCTTCTTTTGCTCAACATGTTTATGAGATTGAGCCACGTTGTTGCATGTAGTTGAACACCCTTCATTCTCATTGCTGTATAGTATCCCATGGTGTGAAAATATTGTAATTTAGCTATTTAACTACTGATGGGCATTTGGGGGTAGTTTCTAATTTGGGACTCTCACAAAAAGTGCTGCTGTGAACATTCTAATAACATGTCTTTTGATGAACATATGAATGTATTTGTGTTCATGATATAATTAGCAGAGGACTTGCTGGGCCATATGGGAAATCATATGATCAGCTTTAGTAGATACCACCAAACAATCTTCCAAAGAGGTTGACACTATTAGGTTATTAAATATGGAATGTCCAATTTCCTTAAGTACTACGTTTGACAGTTGATATCTCTGACATTTCAGTTTGACACTTCTTGTTTTTTTATTGTGAAGGTACATCCTCATTCTTTCAAATGCACATTTTGGCTTGTGATTATCTTTCAAAAAAAATTTTTAGAGCAATATTTGTAAAACCATGGATAAGTCAAAAATTCATATTATTTTTGAATATGAGTTCCATCGTGGAACCAATGCAGTGAAGACAGTTTGAAATATCAATGAAATGTTTGGGAAGGATGT